CCGAGGGACACGGTCGAACGCCTTCTCCAAGTCCACAAAACACACAGACTGGTTGGGCGAACTCCCATGCACCCTCCAGGACCCTGCTAAGGATGTAGAGCTGGTCCTCTGTTCCACGACCAGGACGAAAACCACACTGCTCTTCCTGAATCTGAAATTCCACACTGCTCTTCCTGAATCTGAAATTCGACCTTCCAACAGACCCTCATCTCCAGAACCCCCAAATAGACCTTRCCAGGGAGGCTCAGAAGTGTGATCCCCCTATAGTTGGAACACACTGTGCGGTCCCCCTTTTTAAATAAGGGGACCACCACCCCGGTCTGCCAATCCAGGGGAATTGCCCTCGATGTCCACGCAATATTGTAGAGTCGCATTAACCAATGCAACCCAACAACATCCAGAGCCTTAAGGAACTCCGGGTGAATCTCATCTATCCCCGGCGCCCTGCCACCGAGGAGCTTTTTAACCACCTCGGTGACCTCGGCACCAGAGATTGTAGAGTCCGACCCAGGGTCCTCAGGCTCTGCTTCCTCATGGGAAGATTGAGGAGGACTTCGAAGTATTCCGCCCACCGACCCACAACGTCCCGAGTTGAGGTCAGCAGCGCACCATCCCCACTATAAATAGTGTTGGTGGCGAACCACTTTCCAACCACGCTCTCCAGCACCCACTTCAAGGACTCCAAAAAGGTTGGGTAATCTGAGCTGCTGTTAGGCACATAGGCACAAACAATAGTCAGGACCCGTCCCCCCACCCATAGGCAAAATGAGGCTACCCTCTCGTTGACCAGGGTGAAGCCCAACATACAGGCTGACCATCGCCTGTACGTAGATCAGATGTCCGATCTAAATAGATGTATGTGTATGTATTCCTTTGGTCTCCTGATGAACAAATAAAAATAAATTTATCTTGCATGTTTTTATTTTAGCAAAGGAGCAGATTGGGCCTACCTTTCTCCTCCTGTTTTATGTGTGTWTTGTAGCCATTAGGCCACTAACTGTTTCACAAACACACTTGGAGTCATTGATCCATGGAGAACAGCCCATCTAATGGTTCAGTAATGAGGGGCTGTAAATGTAACAGAAAATACGTACATGACAACAAGCTGTGCAGAAGAAGCATACGGATATAATGGAAAATSAAGCACATTTATCTTTTAAGCGTCTCACACCAAATCTTTAAAGATTGCACTCTTGGTTTCTCTTGTCGCATTTTACTGCTCCCAGACAGGAAGTCCTGTGATTATTCTGTTGTTCAGACCAGATCCTTCTCTGAATGATTCAGAAAAAAGCAAAACAAAACAAAACAAAAAAATAAATAAAACCCCACAGCCATTCCATTAAGCCAGACCAGGGTTACCTCACCCCGTATATTCATGCACCTGCAAACACCCCTCCTAATTCTTTTTCCTGCTTCTACTTATTGCATTTTCACTTCCCGTTTCCCCTTACAAAATGTCTTGTTCCACCTTCTGCTCTTTTAAAACTCACCTTTYGCACGTCCTCTTCATGTCTCTCATGTCTTTCCTGATTTGTAGGTGTGGATGCAGCTCGTGTGAGACAAGCTGGACAGATAACTGGACAGAGCAGCACAAGRAGGCTTGGAGACCACCGAGTCAAATTTAACTACAATGAAATTGATCTGCTCAGGTGACACTGTTGGCTGTAGTTTTGACTCTTACCGTGACATATGCAAACATCTTTTTGGCTATTTACTTCTTGTGTTACTTTGATGATGTTTATTATTTCAATCAAAATATTTTTTTAATCTTAATTCCCTAAATAATAAGTATGATTTTGATTCTGTAGTAGATAGGTGAACCTGAGGTAACTCTGTCCCACCTTTTCTTTTGAATTCTTGTTTTCTTCCTCTAGCATTAACAAATGAGGCGATCCGGGACTCGTTTTAAAACAAAGCATGACAAAATAGTCTGGAAATATTTCTAAATATTCAAAAATACTCAAMAAGTACCGGTAATTAGGTGCATGTACTGAAGTTGTTTCATGGCCAGAGGCAGTAATTGACTCGAAACTCCATCAGCTGCTGCAGATTTTTCTCAACTTCCAGTTTGCATGTTATCTAATAAAACATTTAACTGTAGCATCCTTTTTAAGCTTTTTATCAGCATTTGGACTCAGCTCTAACTGGTCAGTTATTGCTGTCTCATATTGTTTTAGGATTTGCTAACTTCTTCCATATCAGATTTGAGTCTTTTTTTCTTTTTCTTTTAAAGAGCTCTGTTTGCAGTCTCATTTCTGGTTCTTGTCAGATGTCCAGACAAAGCAAACTTGCAGTTATACTGTAACTTTCCATTAAATATAAGAGAATATTTACAGGGTTCCTCTGTGATGCTATCAAAGAGAGTGCCGAAAATTGAATATAATTCATACAAAATGTAAAAGATTTTTGGATCAATAAGAGTAGCCAGATATGTTTTCTGCAGGATGGCTGCACTTAGCCTTTTATGTCTCAGGGTCTGACTCTTAACTTTTATTTTTTTCTTTCTCAGTGTCATATTTATTATGTTAATCATATTTTCAGTTTTACCCTCCCTGTCTTTTCTTGTGCCATCTTTTGTCACTGACATGTGTCTTATTGCACGTTTAGTGCTGCCAAAACGAGGCCCATCATCCCTGAGCCAGAGATTCATGGCAGCCACTCTTTGGAAGGCGTGACAGGCTTCCTGTTACTGATGTCAGAGGGTCTCATCAACGCACTTGAATCTGCCCATGGCCCTGAGCAGGTTAATCAGGTTAGCAGCCGATCTGATCACTTCTCATTTGCTCCTCTGGTGCTACGCTCTCACAGGAAATGTTTAGCTTCTCTTGTTTTTAACCGTTTTCTCTTTGCATTTTAACATCTCTGTAACTTTTTTACCATTTTTTATGCCTTATTTCAGCTTCCTCTCCTACTTTCTATTAGTATACATTTTTGAGCATTTTATTTTTAGTATTTACAGCTGCTCACATTCTCAGTCATATTCTGTTTTCTGATACTTCAGTGTTCCTGCAGATCCCTAAAAAGTCTTAAAAGGCATTGAATTCATCAATCCAAAAATAAGGCCTTAATTAGCCTTAAAATGTCTTAAATCAAATTTTCAGAAATCTTAAAAATGTTAACACATTGTACATAGGATGATTGTAATTCGTCAACTTGTCAATAAATCTTATAGAGTCTGTTAACTTGCTTTTTAAATGGAGCCACATTTGTAACAGGGTTCCTGCAGACCCTTAAAGTTAAAAGTCATTGAACTCATCAATCCAAAAATAAGGCCTTAATTAGCCTTAAAATGTCTTAAATCAAATTTTCAGAAGTATTAAAAAACACATTGTACACAGGATGATGGTAATTCATCTCAAATATTAAAATAATTGGTAACATTTATTTATTTTAAATATTCACATGCAGACATTCCCCTTTGACATCACTTCCTGTTACTTCACATGCAATTATCTCAACAACTGTTTATCTGAGAAATGTGAAATTCATGTTGTAATATGTTAATGCTGTCTTTTCAAAAATGCATTAACTTTTCTTACAGATTTTGATGTTACTTTAAGGT